TTCCACCACACTGAGAGCATAACCTTCCTCTGATGAATGTCTGCTTTTGATGTTGTTTGAGGCGAATCATCACGTCAGGACCAAGACTGTTTGCACACCACATTGTTGTAAACAATCCACTTCTCATCACCAGTTATCAGTCGCTTCAAAAAAGGATCGTTTTCCTTATGTTTAATGAGCATATTGCAGATGTTTATATGTGCTGTCAAATGAACTTCTTTGAGTTCCTGTGAAACCCAAATATCAAGCTTGCTTACATATTCCAGCTTCTTCAGGTGGTCGTGAACACTTGAATGATGGATGTTCAATGTTTCTGCAATCTCTTGTGTCATGTAACGTGGGTTTGACTCGATCAATGCCTTTATTTTGTCGTCATCAACCTCAGTGGGCCTCCCTGACCCAGGAGCGTTGTTATCAAAATCACCAGCACGGAACTTCGTGAACAATTGTAGGTACTGATGTTCTTGTAGAGCATTGTCACCATAAACTTTATGCAACTTTTCACAAGCTTGATGCACGTTCTTCCCTTTATGGAAGTAAAACAGTAAAATATGGCAAAAATGCACAATTTGGTTTTCCATCTTCAACTTGTAAAATCTCCAAAACTCAACCAAATCGCTTTTTTAGAATGAAGCTAGAACTGTCAGCTGTCAAATGACATAGCAATAACATAGATGCAAATGACACTAGTACTTCCATAAATGAACTAGTGCCATCTGTTGCAAACATACGTCATGACTTTTCCGAAGACACAATAGCAGCCCTAGACTCAGAATCAGGACGCTGAATTCTAGCTCCTCTAACTGTAACTCTGAACAACTTACACACTCTGAACTTCAGTCTTCTCAGTTGTAAGCTGAGAAAGTTGCAATATACTGGTGGAGTTCTTATGGCTCCAAGCAACCTCTCAAGACTTGTATAAGGATAGGTCAGTAGGACTCAGGGACTTAAGCCGATTTTTAAGGCTTAAGTTCTTTTAAATGTTTTTTGTATAAGATGTATCTTTAATAAATAGCTTTATTGTGAAAACAGTAACAATTTTCCAACCACAGGCTATCACCAAAAGTCCATTCCAGAAAAAAACAAAGCAAACAAACGAAAACCCTGTGGTTTTATAAAAACAAAGAGAGGCTTTGGGTAATCAAAGATGAAACTCGTCTTCTTTGACATTAAAATAAAAAGAACAAAAAAAAATCTAACAAATTGCTTTAGGATATTCATTTTCCCACTAGATAAAATCCCAAACTGGTTGAGATACTTATTTTTTAGCCCTTGGAATTCAGGAGGGCTGATTTTTCTTAACACATATTCTCTGGATTTGTCAGTATTCCCATGTAAACAGACCCGTTTGTGAAGATGAACAGACAGCAGATTTTGGTCCTTGAGGAACTGAAAGCCAAAAATGAGAAAGTGACTTTTATGAAAATAATGAAGGGAAATTACTGAGAGGTTTTTAAAGAGAAGAATGAAATGGACTGAATGGCAAAAAATGGAGATAATAGGAGCAGGAAAGTAGTAGTATTAGGATGATGGGAGAGGAGAAATGTAGGAGTCAGGGACTGTAGGAAGGAAAGGTGAGGGCAGTCCAGCTACAAGGTGACCAGGGCTCGGGTTTGGCATAGGGGATGAGGGGCAAGGGAGGTCCTGCATGTCACTTGCCAAAGAAGACAAGTCAAGTAAGTGTCAGAATGGGAAAGCGGCCAGTATCCTTAGGCATCCCATCCACAATCTCCGTTCACTCAAACACAATTTCTCTTTTGGGAAAGGAACATTTGTCCTCTATCCTAAGTACTTTCTAACCATCCACATCCTACTATAAGGTTACATTTTAATGGAAGTCAACTTGGAGACTTCTCCAGTGACATGAAACTGTTTTCTTTCACTCTGTGGTTTAACAGTTTCTCCACAGTAACAGGGCAGCCTTTCTGTTACCAGAAACATGGACCTTATTTGTGGTCTCCAGCCATGGCCAAACTCCCATTAAAGCCAATGGGAGTTGTGGCTAAGTAAACCTTAGTGAATAATATTCATTTTTTACAAGGTTTGGAATATGAAGCAATAAGAATTGTTATTTCCTTATGATGTGTGTCCTTTGGTTCCCATGAAAGCATTACCGCAAATAGGATGTAGGGTTATGTCTTCCTTTAGGTACACAACACAGATCTTGAAATCTTTAAAAGAAACCATATATTCTTCAGGAAGGAAATGCATGCAATTATAACCAGTTCTTGATTATTTATTTATAAATTCTCTTTGTCCAGTTCACTTTAATACTTGCAAAGTATTTTTATAGCATATTATTTCAAGTAAAGGAATCATTTTTTTTCATTCACTTACTACTCCTGACAAATTCTCTGAGTTCTATTCCACCCAGAAAAATAAAGAGTGAAGAGAACATAGTGTCAGAAGAACAGCATTTCTTTTAGGGAATGCTTTAGAAAGAGATGATATCGTTTCTAAATAATTTTATAAGCGTTTACACCAAATAATCAATAGTGCTATTTGTATTTTCTTAATTGCATCTCAATGAGCTGATGTGGAACTGAATGACAAAACTGGCACCAGCCAGGTGAACCTCTCATGTCAGTATTTGATCCCTCTATAGTGGTCACCACAGCAGCATCCTGTCATACTAAGCGTTTGCACACTACCCTCTCTCTTCAGCCACCTAATTTTGATATTACGTATTTGACACTGGAGAGAAATCATTATTGTAACCTATTAATTGAACACATATAAGAGCATACTTTCAAATTGTTTCTGTTTCAGACTATCTTAAAAAATATGACAGAAGCTCGCCTTGAGTGACTGAATCATGCACTCCCTGATGGAGCTACATTGGCAATTTTAAAACACAGGGCACTTGTGACCACTGCTTTTTCCTGGAAATGCTGCCTTTCCCTTTTCATGACACACCTTTTGCTTTTTAATTTCCTACATGTCTGACTACTGTCTCTCTTCCAGGATCTTTGATTATCTCCTCTTTCTCAGCTTGCTACCAAAAAAAATCTCATGCTCTCCTCCTTAATTTTCTTTTTTTTTTTTTTGCGGGGGGGAGGGAAGGTGCACTTTGCCACCTCCACATCTTCAAGCATTACCGCAACTACAGAGACCTGGGGGGCCTGTTTCTGCAGATTAAGTTTTATTAGGCTTCAGCCACCCCCATTCATTGTTATGGCTACTTTCTCACTGCAGTGGGAGAGCAGAGTAGTTGTGACAGAGAACATGTGGCTCTCCAAGCCTAAAACATTTACTATGTGGTCCTTCAACAAAAAGTTTGCCACACTTGATCTAGAATGTGGTTGACTCTCTACAGAGTTGCAGCAGGGGGTTAAAGATTTGACATGGTCAAACCAAATTTATTTAATGCCTCTGTTATCTACTTATTTTGCTTCACTGAATACTTGAAAAGTGTCTTTATCTATCTTTGCCCTTATAGTTCCCACAGCTAACTGGTCACCAAGACTGAACTCTTAGTGCCTGTTCTACTCAATGATGTTGTAATCCATCTTTTCCCTGGATATTTTAGTGTCAAATCTTATTTCCAGCATCTATTCCTCTAAGTATATTACCTACTATGTTGTCAGTCATCTTAAATACCCACCTGTTCATGAATTTATTATTTGAATTCCATTGGTACCTCCCTTTACCTCCTGATAAAGTCCAAATCCTTAGCATGTCATTTAAGTCCATGTACTGTATCTTCCCAAGTCTTACTGCTAAGAGTACTCTCAGTGTTTTCAAGACACTATTTCCCAAGCACTTGATAT